TTTCGTCTACGGCTGATTGTCAACAAAACGGAGTTAAGTCTTTTGTTAATTCCGTTTGGTGCTACAGCAGACAGCCAGTGAAAACGAATTTGTTTAATAAAATTATGGAAATGCAAGCACTACTTTGTTATTCCTAGCTCATTTTTCTTGACTGAGGTGTCATATGAAAGGGCAGAAACGCAACTTTCTAGAAATGTGATTTTCTCTTTGAAATTCAGATACCGTCCGCCAAATGGCTTTTTGTTTTCCTCTCTTCATAATCATTTTAATCACTCATGCGAAATATGGATTATAAGAGTTGCATCAAATGAAGAGGAGGATCTAAGCTTTCCAGATATGTGTCATTTATCAATTATAATTGTGATTAAGTGAAGGTAAATCATTGATAATTCTCGGTTTCGTTTTTTCTGGGACGCACTGTATAGTTTCAGAAATATACAGTGGCTCATGAATGTGCTTATCATTTAAATCAAACGTTCTTTATACCTCACGAAATCAATCTGTTCTGGTGCTTTTAGAAGTATGTGCACCAAACAAACCCTTTATATAACGAAAAACAACAGTTTGCTGTAGCAAAGTACTGTACAATGACATCATTAGTGCATGCAGGCAGGGAGGTCTGTTACACCCACAAATGTAATAACGCCCACAAATGTAATAACACTTTACCCACAAATGTAATAACATCCAAAAATGTAATAACAATTTATCCACAAATGTAATAATTTCACCCACAAATGTAATAACCACTTTGCCCACAAATGTAATAATTTTGAATCACCCACAAATGTAATAATGACTTTACCCACAAATGTAATAAATTTGAAGTGATATTTTGTCGAATTTGTTCAAAACTAAAACCCTGTAATAAAGCATGGGTATAGCTAACTACCACCTAGCTAACCACCCCCGGACATCTACCCCCAGTTAACTACCCCCTCCCCGGACATCTACCCCCAGACATCTAACCCCATCCAAATACCCCCCCCCCTGGACAACTAACTCCCCCTCCAAATACCCCCCCCCGGACATCTACCTCCAAGCAAATTAAGGTAGTTGGGGTAGTTGCCCGGGGGTAGTTGGATGGGGGGTAGATGTCCGGGGGTAGTTTTCAGGATGGGGGTAGTTGGCTGGGGGTAGTTGGAAGGGGATAGTTGGATGGGGGGGGGGGGGGGGTAGATGTCCAGGGGGTAGTTGCCCGGGGATAGATGTCCGGGGGTACTTGACATGGGGTAGATGTCCGGGGGGGGGGTATTGTCCGGGGTAGATGTCCAGGGGTAGTTAGCTGGGGGGGGGGGTTATCATTCTAGGGGGTAGTTAGCTGGGGGTAGTTGTGCTAGAGGGTGGATGTCCTAGGGGGTAATTGTCCTAGGGGGTAGTAGTCCTAGAGGGTGGTTATTAGGGGGTAGTTGTCCGGGGGTAGTTGGCAGGGGGGTAGGTGTCCTAGATTCTCGATCAGGGATTATGTCTTACATTTCTTTCGGGGGAGTCCCCTCTCTCGTGGTTGTAGCTCCATGGTTTAAATGAGCAGTGTCAAAACACTAAAGTTACAACAAATCACAGCAATAAACAAAACTGTGACGGAGACGTTCTTAATATTGAGCACTTAAATCAGGCAGATATATCAATTACTTCATTGTAGTACAATAATTATTTTGGTTCTGTTACCGTCTATATATTAATGAAACAACCTTTTCATTCGTTTGGAATAAAATACTTTCTATCTTACAAAATCCATGTATCCATCATTGCATCACTATAAAACCATAACCTTTGCAATTTACTCACATTGATTGAGAGAGTATATAGATATTTTATCAGTCAAAGGGTTCTGCAATCGTTCATTCAAAACATGCAAATATGTTTCGCGTGATCTCGTTATACAGCTATTTATGATTTGTTATATGAAAGTATGCGTTGTTATTTGCTTGTTAACCGATTATCATTTCAGACTTGTTCTTGTTTATATAGCTGCTAGAGTGTTTCAGAAGTAGGGAAAACTGTTATATAAATGTGTTATGTTTGTATTTGCCTTTGAATAAATTTCGTTCTCATGAATTCACACCGTGTACCGCGTACCAATTGGTAGTCTTCAGTATAAGTAATTGATACGTTCATCACATGAAGAAAGGTAATTCATTCACGCACTCATGAAAATATAACATCGCAATCCAACGTTTCAATGTCACTTATAGCGTACATAATATCGTGAACATATTTCATAATCACATGCATAAAACAATCAGCGTCAATATTTAAATACATTTAAGGTCACTTATTCGATTACTTTTTTTCTACGAACATTCAATTCCAGGATGTTTGTGGGCGTTAGAATATTTACATGATTAAAAAAAAAAATCGTCGACGGTCAACGAACCATCGAATCGGTCCCTCCTCTGTGTGATGGTACATAGGGACCATTTTGACTGATTCGTCAGTTCGTGTGACCGCCGACCAATCATTCATTTGTGACGTGTTGTATCCACATATGTAACAATGTAATTTATTTTTAAATGAAAAAAAAAGAGGAATAAGATGGTGGGTCTTAGTTTCGAAGATTTGTTAAAATTTCTATTTCTTTTGAAATAACCTGGTCTGGAGGAAAGACTACGCTCTATACCCATGTTATTCCACAGGAATGAGATGGTGAGGTCTTAGTTTGAAGATTTTTTTTTTTTTTTTAAATAACCGAGTCTGAAGTAAAGACTATGCTCTAATCCCATGCTTTATTACCGGGTCTTAATTTGGAAGATGGAGGGGTCTTAGTTTAATTTTTTTTTTTTTTTTTTACTTTTGAATAACCGGGTCTGGAGGAAAGACTACGCTCGATTCTCATGTTATTCCACAGGAAAAGGATTATGGGGTCTTAGTTTTGAAGATTTCTTAATTTTTTGAAATAACCGGGTCTGGACTAAAGACTGCGCGCTATACCCATGCTTTATTACAGGGTTTTTAGTTTTAAACAAATTCGACAAAATATCACTTCAAATTTATTACATTTGTGAGTAAAGTCATTAATACATTTGTGGGTGATTCAAAATTATTACATTTGTGGGTAAAGTGGTTATTACATTTGTGGGTAAAATGATTACATTTGTGGGTAAAGTGTTATTACATTTGTGGGTGTTATAATATTTGTGGGTAAAGTGTTATTACATTTGTGGGCGTTATTACATTTGTTGGTGTAACAAGGTCCCTGGTGCATGTATTCACAATCCTGTATTACACATGTATGCTTATAGGGGACCATTGATGTACGCAGCATGCCGGTATAAATACCTTTAGGCAGTGCTTCTTGTCATGTCTGAATATTGTGAAATATCATGAAATATGAAAACTGCAGCTCTTCAATTTGTCAATGCCATTAGCGCCATACAGCTTCGAACCCCCATTGAAAAATTCTTTGCGAATATGTTTGCACAGAAAAATTTGAATTTGAAGTCTTTTACTATCTTTGGTTTCGTTTGCTAAAGGTATATGCACTACCTTTAGTTAAAAAAAACACTAGTAGGACCTAAGTGATTGATTGCATAAATGTGTCTATGATGGGTCAGACGAGATGTTTCTAATATAAGAAACCGTATAAATGATTATACAGCCAATGAGAGCTCGTTATATTTCGCGCCTTCTGTTCCTTTAGTTTTCGTTTATATTGTTCGATTTCGGCTCTCTGTTCATTCTTGCGATTTATTCTGGTGAGTGCAAGACGAAAAGCTTTAGTATGTCTCTTTTCAACGCGATTCTCCGATTTTGTAGTACCAATCATCTTCATAAGGGCGTACGAGATATATTTAGGCCCTAAGCCTGTTTTCTACAGTATCCCGAAAACTAACATTCGTTATGTATTACATTTTGTATGTTTACATAAATAACCACTGTGACAAAACAGATTGATTTCGTGAGGTATAAAGAAAGTTTAGTTTAAATGATAAGCACATTCATGAGCCACTGTAAATTTCTGACACTATATATTCAATTTACCAAACGATACGGGTTTCCATGCTATGCAGCTTTGCGGAAATCAGGGGTGGTGTCATGTTCGGCAAGAAGGAAGGACAATTTTGTTCTGCCATGCTGTAAGGGAAAACACTGATAATGTCATGTATTATTCTACTATTGTTATCCTTTTCGAATAAATTGATACTAATTCCGGGTGTAGTATTTCTATCTCTAAAGATGAAATATAATTCAACTACTTCCTTCTTATTGCTCATAGATTGTTTTCTTCTTAAATGTGTTTATTTAATACCAGCCCGGACCACTAAGAGCTTCTACCCATGGAATTTCTTTCAAAATCGGGGAGCGTGTGCAAATGCGGGCTACTACCTTTAATGATTAGAGGGGGTATGTTGTGGGTTAGCGCCTACCTTTTGGTACCTTTGTGATGATGGTGTTGGCTGGTATCCAATAAACACAATTAAGCAAAAAAATGAACAAAATTGCTTAAATCCCTTTTCGACCAAATTTGCCTAATTGTAAGACGTTCGGCTCTGTAAAGGAGTAGCGCAGATGATGTAGTCGGCATAGCGGGGGTTGCGCGGTACAATCAGGGGTTTTACCCTCTTGCGTGTTGGCAAAATATCAAATACACTGTATTATGTATCGAGAACAGAGTCAGATGATGCAATGAAAAGTTATACCATTTTAGGGACAATCGTCTGAATTCTGGAGAAAAAAAGCTTAAAAACTGCCTGCCAACTTTAATTCTGTCTGTACTTTGTCCAATCACAGCTCGCTCTTAGTATACGGCCATCGAATCAAAAGGGGTGGAGCGAATACCCTACCACTTTGTGATGATCGTGTGCTTGACTTACCGATTTCCCAATATGCCACGCAAGGAAATACGCCATCGTCCATTCAGGATATCAAACGGGGAGCATTGTGACCAATCAGAACTTTCTATAACTGCCACGTGTACGCTTTTTTTTTTTAATGACTCTTATCAAACGACATTATTTTGGATCGGTTCCAGCTATACCACTCCTAACTTGTGCAATAATCTTCTGGAAAAATCATCTATTTTTTTGGCGAGAAAAGAGTATATAAGATCGAGCCACACACGAATATTCCAATAGCTGCTTGTTGTTTTTCATCTTACGACCGTCTGCTTCAAAATTTCTGAAGATCTCCTCCTCTGTCGTTCACTTTGGACCATCGCAGAACTAAATACCACCGGTGAGTAGATCAGTTTAGTTTAGTTCAAGTCATAGAGTTTTACTTATTAACTACTTGACAGATTTCCCTGAATTTCATAACCTTTTCTGTTTAATTATAATGTACAGGCTATATATTTTTTTAAGGTATCATGGTCGAGTGGATCGAGGACCCCGCTCTCAATCAGAGGGTCCAAGGTTCGAGCCTCCAGCATGTCCGTCAGCGAGGCATTTTATCTATACTGCTGCCTTTTAACCTAGGAGAGAAGTAGGGACATATAGTAGGATGGGATAACGTGGGACTGAATTTGTCATGGCAAGTGAATACCCCCACTGGGAGTGGAGACGGTGCACACATTGTGTGCCGGCTTGAAATATATATAGTGACTAGTTTTCACTTTTTCCACTTTCGTTCTTCATTCTTATCCCTATTTCCTGTATTATCTACATGTACATATTTTGTTTGTTATTTTCTTGTTCCCCCTATGACATCAATTAAACATTTTAACGGGTTGATAATGTTAACTTAATAATTAAGAGAACCTGCTCACGACAAGCTATTGCTTTTAAATAGGTTCCCTTGTCATGTTCTATTCTCACATAGGCCTATATAGTGCATTATGCAACTTTTGAGGAGATAAAAGTTGATTTTGTTAGTTGAATCTTGTACATAATATATTTTCATTTGTCTTGTATTGATTTGAAATTGAAATAAACGAAACGGAATACAAAAAATTGTATCCATATTTTCGGGCAAGAGCCGGCAAAATTTTGGTTGATAATCAATCAATATTGGGAACAGATTCTGGCAATATCTGACATCCCATATACGCATAGTAACGCCCAATAACTATTTTCTGTAATGATCAGATAACACGTGTTTGATCATTATGGTCTCGCTTTTAATCTCTCTCTCTCTCTCTCTCTCTTCATGGCAAAGAAGAAATGGGTCGTTTCACAGCGCTTCTCCTTGCTCAGCTGATTGCCACCTCACTTGCGTGTTTGCCCACAAGTAACTCCGGTCGCCCTTTTGGCATAGACCTAGGCCCCAACACGGAGGTGTACCCATACTACAAAGATGGCGAAGTTGGTATCACGTTTGAATGGCGGTATGTCACGTGACACATTATAACTGTCATCTGTTCCTGATCTCTCTCTCTCTCTCTCTCTCTCTTTCTATTTCTCTCTCCCTTCCTTACACCAATTAAAGATATAGTTGAGTTCTGGTCATGCGATTGCATTGTGAAAGAAACGGTATGGAATCGATCAGAAAAAGTTGATCATGTAGCATTTAAGTATTGATGTGTACTGGAAGGTTCTGGAGTCATCAAAATAAAGGCCCAGTCTTGGTAAAGTAACCAGCACTGTACACAGGATTATGTATATAGGACTACACAAACATGTGGCATAAAAATCGAGCCTCATTTTCAAGCTGTTACTTGTGATATTTCAAATATGAAGGCATTTGAAGAGCTATGCTTTTTAGGGAACATTTTTTCTCTGATGTTCTTCCACACTTGCATAATAACAATGATAACGCTCACAAATTATTGTTCACCTCTCCCTTGTGTGTGTGTGTGTGTAATTGGGTTTTTACAGACGTGTATCAATCAGATATGATTATTTACGTCTGGGGACCGACCTTTAACGTCACCATCCGAAAGACGTGACTCAGTTTCAAACCTGCGTCCTCGGATTCCATTGTTAGCTGGATTACAGGCGCACGCCACAACGCCATGTTCTCCCCAGATCTCAACCTTCTCTTTAAGTGTCATAATCATTGATTTTCACAATCATGGTGTGCCGCACTTCTCAATCTTATGCCTTCACCAACAGCCCAACCTACTCATCGCTCACATCCTTCCACTATCCATTTACTTAAATGTGGTATCCACAGTACCCCCCGTACCTCTTCCCTTTGATTCATTGCAAAGATCTACCTGACTAACGAGCACCCCCCCTCCTAAAAAAACCAGGTTCCTGTTCAAATTCAAAACTAGTTCCTCTTAAAACATCTCATTGCTTACTATAATTGTCCATCGACGTCTCATAATTCTCCTTTCGCTAAAATTTTAAGGATGTTTGTTTTCTTTTGAACGTAAAATGGAAATAATTGGAATTATATACACGGTTTGTGCTAGTGCCCTTCTTACAGATGCTAATGGGAAATGCGTTAAAGGTAGTAGCCCTCATTAAATTTTGCGCATCCTCTCCAATTTTGATGAAATTCCATGTATACAAGCCCTTTCGCATGAGGATGATGCTGGTCAAATTTTCAGATCAAATAAACAAATAGTTTGGAAATGAAAAGTGAAGAGATTTTATCATATCAAATAAAATAAAATAAATGTATTTCCTTCTCATTTCGAACTACTGGACCGTTCGCTCTCAAATTTGATCAGGGTCATTCTAATGCCAAAGAGGTTCGTGTTTTCTTTTGTTGTTGTTGTTTATTTTTGTTCCTTATAAAAAACACACGTTTGAATTAATGAATATACCGCACTGAACAATGAAGGAAATGCTGTCATATATCATCTGAAATGGATTTAACTCAGTATGTGCATGCATGTAAGTCATCATTTATTAAATGTGCTGGGTCTGCGGGTCTCGAATGAGACTAAAGTGAGCAAGGGGGGGGGGGTGTAAATCCCCATGAAATAATGTATACGTGCTATTTGTTATTATAGAAAACAATAATAATATCGCTATGTATAACAAAAAACACTGGATATATAAATCAACATGATTAATAATAATAATATAATTATGTTGTGCCAAACTTATTAATAATATCTCATCACAGCTCAAAACGTTGATATAATTTCTTTCGTTTTGTTTCCCAAAATTTAGGTTCAAGCGGAGCATCGAAAATGAGACCGCGCACGATATCGACATCAGCAGGAAACTCTTCGAAGTACTCGACATCAACGATGACGACCAGCTTGATGTGAAAGAATGGTTCGATGAAGGAGGTAAAGTCAGATCATTTTCTGACATGCTCGGCGATTACGACAATAACTGTAAGTGGTAGATATTTTTTTTTAAATTTCATGAGTGATGTATTTCCGACTCTCCACTAAAAACATTTTTTGGAAGGAGGGCAGATATAGAGACAATGAGAGGGAGAGAGAGAGAGAGCGAGAGAGGGATAGAGAGAGAGAGAGAGAGAGAGAGAGAATGAGAGATAGAGAGAGAGAGAGAGAGAGAGAGAGAGAAGAGAGAAAAGAGATACAATCGAGACATCCAGAGGGATATATGTAAATGCCCTACCTGTATTTTTGCTCTGTAAAGTAATTGCGAATAGAGGGTGTCATTGAATTACGTTTCACCAGCTAGATCGCTGTATAGCGGACATATAATAGAGGTAATCATCTTTATCCAGTTATACTTTATATTTCTCACTTACTATTATCGATCGCACCATTCACAGGCTCTTTTCTTTTCACGCCTCTCTCTTGTTCCATCCTATCTCTCCATGCATCCTCGCAGCTGATGAGATGATCTCGCTTGAAGAGTTCCTCGCCATTCCTCTCGATCCCGCGACCATTGACCATGAGATGAGGAGCGACCAAAACTAAAACCAGTGACGTAATAATGGTCGACGCCGACCCCTTCACTCGGTTGGAAACGCTCTAGTGTATCCTTATTACAGGGGCGGGAATTTCTTATCTGTGCGTAGTCAATTTGTGCGTTGTAGTGCGTAGTTGGGCAGGGGTAGGACTTAAGGGGTAAGCCATATATATAATATACCATGGCGTTGAATAAGGATAATTACAGTAAGATATAACTCAAATGTAGATTGCCAAAGAATTAAAGGTACTATGTCCCATTTGCAGGCCTAAACAACAAAAATGAAAAGGTTATATTCCAATGGCGTTTGAAAGATAATACTATTTTAGGAATTCCTTCAAAACAAAAGGGCTTGAAAATGTCTTTTTGTGGGAAAATAACGACTATTAGTTGTCAAATCGACTTTAGTGATTGTAATCATTTTAGTCAAGAGTCTGATTTTCAGACCCTTGTACCGAATGGTGTAATGTTTTGTGTTGCACAAAGATTCAAGTAGTTTAATTTTGGCTTTACATGAAGTGGGGTATTGATATTACAAATGCTCATGTACCTTTAGAGCTCATTTTATGGATGTTATTACCAAGTCCTTTGGCAAGACATTGATCTACATTTGCCACACTCCACCCAGGTGAAGTAAATGGGTGCCTGGTAGGAATTTATTTCTTGAAATGCTAGAGCGCCATATGGCAGCTGTGCTAAAGCCAGGGTAATAATCGGGAGCGCCCGGAGGGTCAAATCACACTGACTTGAGCTCTATACAAGAACCCATTATTATTTTTATTATTTATTATTGTTAAAGAAAAAAAGAACTCAGTCAGTCACTCTGACAGTGACGTCTAGATAGTAAATGGGTTCCCTTGCATAATTTAAACACTAAGACACCGCTTATGTATAGATTTCACAGATAGGACATACGTGACATAAAGTTCTATAGAATTTGATGTTGGCTGCAAAAGGGATAAAGCACCTTTAAGAGAACAATAACTTCCTCTTGATGTCGTAACTGTATGACTTGTGTAGAAATTTGATATCTCCTTTTTTGTCACACTATTTTATTTTTATAAGGGGAGGGGGAGGGGGTATGCGGATTTAACCCTAAATTGAAATGATGCATTTTCACACTCTATGCTTGCATAGTTTGATATATAATGATGCAATATGACATTCTACATTTTAGACTTCTATAACAATGAATTTTAGAAATATTTCATGTTGAGATTAAGCCCAATCAATTTTGAATATGGTTTGTATTGCAACTAATGTAATTTTGCAAAAAGATATACACCTTAAATATGGTCATGATAAAAATTAATAAACTTTGGAATATCATTTACTTACGCTATGTGTCTTTAATCATTATGCTTTAACTAAAATCGAATGTATTCATTTATTACATTACTAACTAGAGGTGTGTATTTGTGCGTATGTGTGTGCGTGTGTATGTGTGCGTGTATGCGTGTGTGTATGCGTGTGCAGTGTGATAGAGACAGAAAGAGAGAGAGAGCGCGCGTGTGTGTGTATGAGAGCTCGCTCGCATATGTGTGTGTCATTAATATCTCAAACGCACCGTAGATTCTGGTAAGGGGAAGGGGGGGGGGGTCACGGTATTTCTATAAAGTGCCCCTTAATATTGGTTCCCTAACACAGTAAACCAATTTCAAATTCATTGGGTAAAGATTTAATATAGGATTCATCAGCTTAAAGCTCCTCTAAAGCTTTAGGAGCCCCACATATTGGATGGCAATATTCCAAATAAATTGCATAATGAGGTGGAAGAAGGTGTTTGAAGACAAATATTGATGAAAATAACAGAATTTCAGTTTGCTGTTGTAAGTAGAAAACTCAAATTTTGTATTCTTTCATCAGTACTTCATCAAGTCTTTAAACACACCCCCCCCAAAAAAAAAGTAAAAAAAAAAAAATCCGTATAGAATTGAGTGTTAAATGACAACCTCTTCCACGTCATTATGCAATTTATGTAAGAATGTTGCTGCAAAGTGAACATGTAGATTTCTTTGATTTTTATTTTAATAAAGGGGGGTGGGGGGGGGGGGGTAGTGAGCATTTTTGTGTACTCAACACCTGACCCCCAAACAAAGAGGTAAAATTGTGGTTACCATCTTTTTTGTAAACTTTTTTTTGCCAGGGGAGGGGGGGGGGGGCCGTTTTGTTTTTTTGATAAAAACATGGTAATTTTTTTTTTCTTTCTTGTTTTGCCAGGGGTATTTACACAAATTTAAATAATGCAGGATCTTTTAATGTAATTCAGACAGTTTTATATCTACACATATAAGCGTATGGTCTAATTTCACAATGATAAAACTGGGGCAATAAAGGTAATAGCCCTTATTTGCACAACCTTTACATTTTTTAATACATGCCGAAATTAAAGTAACGTGAAACGACCAACCTACATTAAATATCAAACAACTTCTCTACTAAACTCACTGTTATAAACCATTATCCACATCCAATCGTCGGCACTATCCTTACTAACATAACCATTATTAACACCATTATCATCAAAAACTAATATCATCACCTACTTCATTACCACCACCCTCATTATCATTATCAACATCATCATAATCATCATTATTATCAACATTATCATCATTACCATCGTCATCATCATCATCAACATCATCATCATCATCAACATCATCAGCATTATCATCATCATCGACACCAGAGTCATCAGAAAATGTTCTGATCCATCTCAAACTGAAATTTCCATTTATTAATTCATTCATTTATTTCTGAAGAGTGGTTTTCCATGGGGCCCTGAATGAACAATCCAGTAACAATAATTTAAATTTCAGGTGAAGAATGATTTATACTAAAAATACTAAAATCGTCTAGAAAAGATGAACAAACAAGGTGAGAAATATTTATATGATCAGTAGCTGATGAATATAATTATATAGAACTGGAGCAGATAAGATTAAAGCAATAGCCTATAGAAGCATTCACAAAACGCTTATGACTACGCTTCCTACGAAAATATATGCAACAAATCAGTCGATTTATAAGTATATGAGTAAACTATCTAACCATTCTATTAAGATAATTAAACCTAAAAACTGAGCCCAAGGGTGGGGTGGGGGGGGGGGGGGGGGGGGGGGGGGGGTGGGGGTGGGGTTTAAAGTTTTAGTTCAATCTAAATCAAATTTGGTAGCTTTACCTAAAATATTATGCAGAACATTTATTGATGTAAACTGTAAACTTTTAACACATTCGTACATTCTTGATGCTATGGAAACCAATAAATGACATGAATATTGATCACATTTTGAAATTATTTTTGGTCTTCTTAATAATAATTAATATGAACAAGTCAGAAATGTATTAAATGAGGCTGTTTTTGGTGTTTTAGTTCCAGGAATTGCATAAATATCATTTTTATTAAAAAAATACAACTTTCAAGCAACTTATTTAGTTTTTCTTTGTTTTTCATGAAAAATGGCGCCAAAACAATAAAAAACAATAACAAATAATTAAAATATATGAAAAAATTCCATTTTTCTTCTAAACTGATATCAGTTAATATGTTGCACATCATAATTAATTTCCAATGGAAATCAGAGCATTAAACACATTTATATAACCGATAAATCATATATCAATTACAATACACATTGAAAAGCCAATGATAGAGAGGGCATCTTCAATGAATTCAATTTGACCTAAAAGTTAAAAGCAAGCCTCATTTTCTTCAGTATACAAGTTCCATTACTGTAAATTTTTAGGAGTAGATTGTTTGAACATTTCATCAATACATGTGTTCGTCTTGCAATCACTCCATTTGTGTCAATATTTACTGGTTTACGCTGCTTACTACCGGAAAACAGTGGCATTTCCCCCACTTATATACCCTACATGCAAACATATACCATAACTTCCACTTTTTAATGTCTTAACTCTTAAAATTAAGATACGCGTATAGACACGTATGCATAATATTACAAACTTTTATGTAAGAAAATAATTGAGTAATTAAATTTTATTTGCCCATTGTTTCGGACCTTTTAGCTTTCATGGAAATCATACCTGGACCATCAAACCAAAAAATTGAGAACCCCTGCTACATGCAATGGGGGCACATTGGGCCTGGGAATGGAGGATCGTGCAATGCAACCCACTCCGTGAAAATACTGATCCTCATGTTCTATTTACAATTTATTATATTGTATTCAATTATTGGTGTTTTAAATAATAGGCTTCTTTTCCATGTATGAAATGTTTTGCTCCCTTACTTCGCTAGCTCGCAAAAATAAAGACATGAAAGACTGCACCCCCCTATTCTGCCAGCATGCTCATTCTCGACAACAAAACCATTTTAAGAGTGAGTTACACCAGCTATCTACCCTCAACTCCTTTAGCCCCAAGCAACTATCCCTAGGATTCCACCCCCTGCAAGCTTCTTTTGGTATCGGAGGTGACGCTCCCGGGGGCAAGGGGGCACAGTGCCCCCACTTTTTGAAGTATCCCCAAAGTGTCCTTTTTAATACAGATAAGTAAATTCCCCCTTCTAATAGGTACCCATTTGTTATAAGAAGTGCCCCTTCCCACATCTGACATGTGCACAATTTACTTCGATACGTCCTCTTTTCCTTTCTAATAAATGTCCTTTCCCTTCTTATAGAGGCACATTATAATAGCGACATGTTCCTTTTTATTATAATAAGTTCCACTTGTTACTTATGATACGTGTCTCATTCCTTTCTAATACTATGCCCCCCTAATCAAAACGAGTGATAGCATTTTCTCTCTCAAATTTCCCCTAAATAGCAATGCGACCTCACAGATCTTAAAATCTTCAGAGTTTGGTTCTGAGGTAGTATCTTGGACCACTTAAAGAGAAAATCTCGGAGATTATACCTGATAATGCATTGATTACAATTTAGGGGGTACAAAACAATGTCTCAATTTTTTTATTTTTTTGCTCTGAGGTTACCATCTGTAGATGCCCTTTTCCTAGAAAGTACCCTTTTTTGTTGGTGTACCCCAATTTAAAAGACGCTTCGCCGCCCTTCTTTGTATAGTTGGTAAAGATGGATTGGGGCTTTCCTAGCTGCCCATTTACTTTCTTTGGGATTTGGAATTCACCTGAGTTTTAGTCGGGGGGGGGGGATTAGCCTTCTTAGCAAATTAAGACACTTCCTACCCATTATATTATGTTATCCTTGTATTCTACGCTTATTCTTCCTTACTTGAATTACGGACTTTTTTCCTAGGGCAGTGCAGCAACTTCCCAAATTAATAGACTCTTTATTTTACAAAAAAG